GCATATTATATGTTTTATATTAACCGAGATCACTCGGCTGCATGCCAACGGGCTGCAATGCTAGGGTATGTGAATGGAAAGGCTTGAGTCAAGCCAGTTCAGGACAGTTTTTTGTTAGTTTACTAATTTTCTGATTAAATTGGAACTAACGGAAAGATTTACTTGAAAAATAAAGTATAAGTGAAGTTTTAGTCGTCAAGACTAAGTTTTCGTATAGATGTATCCCGCATGGGAGAAATTTTGGCATAGTACTTATGCTAGTCAATCCTGCATGGCAGGAGAAGTTTTCTGATGATTTATATTTTTTGTATCCCGCATAGCGAGAGAAGTTTGGGTAGCTCTTATGATGTCCTAGTATTGACCTTGGCACAATAGAAATGCATCGTCATGGTCAATACTAACCAAAAGATAAGAAAAGATGCAAGTGTGACTTGCAAAAGCACTGCTAATGAAAGACCTCGTTGAGTTCTTAAAGTGAATTAAGGAAAGTGTACTCCTAAACGGATCAAGAAATAACTTTATTTACATAACACAATCATATGAATGGAGTAAGTTAAAAGTATCTTCTCGTTTACAGGCTTTCTGAATAGTTATCGAAATTATGGCAGTAAAGTTCATGCCATATTTTGAGGGGGAGAATATCATGATTAATTAAGAAAAATACTCTTCATTAAGAGTGAGATAAAGTTAATTAAGAAATATACTCTTCATTAAGAGTGAGATAAAGATTAATTAAGATGTATGCGACCGTCGAAGGAGTACAACGGTCACAACAACGATACCCTTAAATAGAGAAATAGCTACATTCCTAGACCTTTTAAAGTTTCGATAGGAAAATAGCGTAGTCAACGTCAAAGATGTTAAGGTGGTGATTAAAGCGCCATATGAGGTTTTAACAGATTAAACCCAAAATAAAAAATTTGAAGATACACTGTCTTTAGAAAAGATGGGAAGATCTGGAGGAACATGGTATGTAGAGACCTAAGACTTGAAGAGAAGAGGGACTGTGTGCCATCTCTAGTGACTCAGGAGCAACAAGTTTCTCAATACCTGTTGATATTATATGACCAATACAACACCTGTTGTTGGCTCTTCGAAGAAGATGAATAATGTAAACAAGGATCTTGTGATATAGGAGCCTGTAGAATCAATTGCCCCTTGACAATGAAGAGCAACAACAGCCCCATATGGAAGTGCTAGTAGCTGAGGCCCCAGAAGGTCTCAAAGAATTAGTAAACCAATTTTTTGATGACTATGAAGTCTACGTTAGTAAAGAAATTCAAATGGAGGATGATTCCACCTCATTTAAAGAAGCCATGAGAAGCGTTTACTCGTTTAAATGGCAAGAAGCTATGGAAGTTGAAATGAATTAGATAAATACCAATGATGTTTTGGGACTTAGAAGTAATTCCTAATAGAGCCAAAACAATAGGCTATTAATAGGTCTACAAGACAAAATGTGACTCCAAAGATAATGCAGAAAGATATAAAGCACGACTTGTGGCAATATGCTTTACGTAAAGAGAATAAAAAGATTACAATGAGATTTTTCTCTCCAATCTTATGTAAGGATTCTTTTAGACTCATAATAGTGTTAATGGCACATTATAATTTAGAGTTACATCAGATGAATGTAAAGACGACATTCCTCAATCGGGATTCATATAAAAACAATTACATGGCACGACCCAAAAGGTTTTGTCGTGGAAGAAAAGAACATGTGGGATGCCGCCTGTAGAAATCCATTTATGGATTAAAAGTAAGTTTCTATACAGTAGTATTTGAAGTTGATGAAACGATAAGAAAGTTTGGGGTTTTTAAAGAAAATGAGAAGGACAATAGCGTTTACACGAAGTTCAAGAATGGAAAATTTATTTTCCACATCCTGTGAATAGATGACATTCTACTCACTAATAGTGATGTTAATCTGTCATTGAAGAAGAAGTTTTGTCCTCAAATTTCAATGTGAATAATCTTGGTGAAGCGTCATTGGTTTGAGGAATCGAAATTCACCGAGATAGAAGAAAATGGGGTATTAGGACTATCGTAAAGGCATACTTTGAAAAGATTCTAAAGAAGTAAAGTATGCATGCGAGTAAACCTATGCCTGCTTCTATAGTTAAGGGTAATAGATTTGGGAACTTTAAGTGTTCTAAGAACCGATATGAGATCGATCAAAAGAATATGGTTCCATATGCTTCAGCTGTTGAAAGCTTGATGTGTGTACAAGTACAAGTAAGAACTTACCCTGACGTAGTTTATGTATCCAGGATATTTTGGCAGAAGTTCAGTTCAGATATAGATCACTGGAATTGAGTTGAGAATGTCTTGCAATTTTACAAAGTATCATAGGCCTCATGCTGAGTAAAAAAGAATAAGTACTCTCAAATAGTTGAGGGTACAAAAAGTTAAGTCTTGACAAGATGTGTAGTGAAATCCACAACAGTTGTCAAACACTCGTAGTTGGAGTATTATTGTGGAAAAGCTCCAAAGAAACAGTTGTGGTGTCATCAGTGATGCATACCATAGTATAGCTTATCATGAGGCTTAAGGAACAAACAAAAGCAGGTTAAAGAAATTTATACCCGGATTTAACAATGGTAAACAACAACAATAACCATTTAAAGTAGGGGCTATTGTGTTCTTGCCCCTATTTTGAACCCCAATTGTGATTTTACCCTCATTTTCTTCCACTTTGTGTTTTTATCCCTGCTTTTCCAAAACGAAGGTTCATTTATCCCTACTCCGTGAACAGCAGGTAACGGTGTTAAAAAAGTTGAAAGATGACAAGTTTGCCCTTCTAAATATTGCGTTTTTGCCCCTATTTCAAACCCCAATTATGATTTTATCCCCGCTTTCTTCCACTTTGTGTTTTTACCCCTACTTTTCCAAAACGAAGACTCCGTTTACCCTCATTCTTAACTCAGTTATCTACATCCGGATCAAAGCAATTAAAAATTAACAAAAGCCCTATGAAAAGACAAACTTACCCCTTATCTCTCGGTCGTCTCTCTCAGGGTCGTCCCTCTCAACGCTAGCGAGCGTGGTGGGCTGGTCTTGTGAGGAGGTGGCGACGGAAGGGTGCGCGCCAGTCCAGGCGCAGGCAGCAGGCTGACGCGAGCGCGAGCAGCGTCTTGAGCGGAGGAAGCCGGCGGCTTTGGCGCGCGGCTTAACTTTGGCGATGGCGCTTGACCGAACCTGTGACTCTGCTTGGCAGCAGCGGTGGCTTGGCCAAGGCGTCGCGCGCCGCGTGCGTCTCGTGGCAATGCGAGACCATGGAGCCAGAAGCCGCGCCTCTCTCTCAACTCTAGCGGATGGGTGGGTGCGGCGGCTGTTGGCCTTCCGCCGCATGCCCGCCTAGCCATCCGCTAGAGTTGAGAGAGAGGCGGGTCTTCACTCCATGGTCGGCTACTTCACGAGGCCAGCTGCACGCGACATGCTGCTCCATGCAGGTCAGCAGCAGCCAGAGTGTCAGCATCAGCCTGCTGTATGCTACGCACGCTAAGTAGAGCCAGCGTGCCTAGTACAGCCGCTCAAGATCAAGCACGCCAGCAAGCTTAAGGCTGCTTCCTCCGCTGAGCACACGTGCACTTTCTTGCCACTGCTCAAGACGGCCCGATCTTGCTCTTCCTTCACACCATCACAAGACTCAAACTACCACCGCCCGCTGCACGCTGGCGTTGAGAGGGCGACGACCAGAGAGACGACCGAGAGATAAGGGGTAAGTTTGTCTTTTCACAGGGCTTTTGTTAATTTTTAATTGCTTTTATCCGGATGTAGATAACTGAGTTAAAAATTGGGGTAAATGAAGCCTTAGTTTTGGAAAAGTAGGGGTAAAAACACAAAGTGAAAGAAAGTGGGGGTAAAATCACAATTGGAGTTTGAAATAGGGGCAAAAACGCAATATTCGGAAGGGCAAACTTGTCATCTTTCAACTTTTTTAACACCGTTACCTGCTGTTCACGGAGTAGGGGTAAATTGTACCTTCGTTTTGGAAAAGCAGGGGTAAAAACATAAAGTGAAAGAAAATGGAGGTAAAATCACAATTGGGGTTCAAAACAGGGGCAAGAATGCAATAGCCCCTTTAAAGTAAGTTAACTCCTAAGACAACAAGTCAAGTGTGCTGCCAAACACATTAACACTAAGGAATATGTTGTAAATAAGAAAATCCAGAATCATTTTGAAAGCATTGAGTATATAAGTACCGAGTAAGTACTTGCGGATCCGCTTATCAAAGGTTAACCTCTCAGTGCGTTCAGAGAACACACAGTCGACATGGGTTTATGGAAAAGCCTATGATTTCTGGATACTAAGGGCTTAGTTGAGTATCTGTTTCAAAACAGATAGGTGCGTTGTTGCTGTTTAATCTAATAGCAACAGACCATGACGATGAGGCACGCTCTATGCACTGATCTGTGATGGAATGGGAACAAGATAAAGTAAGTAAGTTAATTTTAAGTCATAAGGTGATATCAAGAGGGAGAATGTTATGATTGATCTCATCCGACTCAGTCCAACGACTGAGTCGGACCTCTTGACCGTGTCCTGATCGGGGACACACAACCGACCACTGGTAGGCAGGCCCCTGTCACACAACGCAATAAGAAGGAGGTGAGGATTGGGGTGCTAGACACCAGGTTCGACGTCGTTACTGGACCCTACCGAAGAACCCTAGTAGCCCCTCCGATCATGGGCAGCGCTGTAAGTGGCGGAAAGCGCCGCCGGCAGCCCCCACCCCCTCATTTGGTCTCCACCGCACCTACGCTGCCACGACATCAACGTCCACATCGCTACAGCGTCATAGACGCAACTGCACAAGGACAAGATACATAAATAAGTTTTCCTATCTAAATTAAAATTATCCCTGATCAGGTACAGTCAGTCCCTCGTATTCGTCTCCCTATATACCCACGCTACCCCTTCAACCTCCCCCTAATTCTCTCCCTCGTCTTCTTCGCTACCAGCCAGACAGCTCCAGCTCAGGTGGTCAGGCAAAGATGATGGCGGAGGCGGCGTGGACGCCGGTGCTGTTGCCGCCGACGGCGCCCTGCTTCTGGCAGCCGGACACGCACTCGGTTTTCTGGCGGAGAGGAGACGTGTGGACGGCGGAGGAGAACAAACAGTTCGAGAAGGCGCTGGCGCAGATCGACCGGAACGCGCCCGACAGGTGGGAGAAGGTGGCGGAGATGCTGCCCAGGAAGACGGCCGACGACGTGAGGAACCACTACCACGACCTCGAGAACGACGTCGGCTACATCGAGGCCGGGCTCGTGCCGTTCCCGCACTACAGCAGCTCGGTCCCATCGTCCGGGTTCACCCTCGAGGCCTGGGACGGCGGCGACGGCGGGTTCAGGCGCGGCTACTGCCTCAAGCGCGCGCGGGGGTCGGACCAGGAGCGGAAGAAGGGCGTCCCCTGGACGGAGGAGGAGCACAAGTAAGCAACAGTCCCAACCAGAACCATCGTCGTCGTTCTGGGCGGGTGCGGGTCGATGGATCCGCCCGCTCGCCTTCTTTCTTCTTTCCGTCTGCTAAAAATGGCGAATTTCGTTTCGTGTCTCAGGCTTTTCTTGATGGGGCTGAAGAAGTACGGGAGAGGGGACTGGCGGAACATCTCGCGCAAGTACGTGACGACCCGGACGCCGACGCAGGTGGCCAGCCACGCGCAGAAGTACTTCATCCGGCTCAACTCCGGCGGCAAGGACAAGCGCCGGTCCAGCATCCACGACATCACCACCGTGAACCTCCCCGACGAAGACCGCGGCAACGCCCCGCCCTCGCCGCCGTCTGCTGTCACCACCGCCACCGCCGCCACCAACCCCTCCGTCGCCCAGCTGGTGGACGTGAAGCCGTTCATGCCGCCGCTCCCAGCTGGCGCGCTCGGCGTGTCGCACCCCTACGTCAACGTGAAGCTGGAGCCCAAGAGCTCGCTCGTGGTCGGCCTTGGCCTGGGCTTCGACGACTCCGTCTTCCTGCGCAGATGCATTGCGGACAGTTGTGACGGTCGATTCTTGCGGCGAGAACCGCTCCCATCCCATCTCTAACTACACCGCCTCATCTCCGACTCCGAGCATCAGGGCCGGGCCAAGTCGCAGGCGGCAGGTCGTCGTGCTTCAGGTGTACTACTCCTATCAATCAGATGGCACGTCCCGTGTGAGGATGAAGAGTGGCACGGTCTCGGCGTCCAGATGCCAGCTCGCGGCAGCTCCGAGTGACCGTGTTCATCGAGAACAAGAGGCCGTTGCAGCGTCCATTTCAGTTCAGTGTACATAATTGGACAAGTACAGAGGCCAAGAACTTGCACGGTACGTCGATACCGAGTAATAAAGCATTCCATAAAAAGCCTTTTCCAGCGTCACCGGCGGCGGCTTGGAGTAGGATCCAGGATCACGTACGGGGTCAGGAGATTTCTGTACCGGCTTGTTAGTGTATTTTTGGTGCGCAACATCTCCCACCGGATGGGGGTAACACTTGTAGTGTGATGCTTGTAGGGTCTCGCAAGGTTTTTGTCCGCCATTGTTGCTTTGCCAGTTACTCCTACTAGAAGTTTAGATATGTTGTTCTAAAAAGAAAGGAAGTTTAGATGTGCTGGGCTCTGGCTGATGACTTATCAAGCTTCCGTGTGCTACTTGCCGTCGCTGTTGAAGCAACAGAAACTCCGGCAGGAGATCGGTCGGGGTCTCCCTCTCGGATCTCACTGTGAAGTCTGCCTGGGCGGCTATAGTTAACTCCTCCCTTGTCACCCTCGTGTCGTCTCCTCCATGTGGAAGCACCGTACTCCGTACTTGCCATGCATGTGACCTGCTACTCCTCCCCGTTTAATTCTTCAGATAAAATATTCGGCCGCATGCATCTTGCTCTTCCGCCCATGCGCATATGTTTACGCTCCCTGGCTCTGTGAAACTCCCCGATCTGGCTCCAGATTGGCCAGTCGCAGCATCGGGAGCCGGAAGGTTTGATTGATTTCTCCAGTTCAGCTAGAACTCAAGTGTGAAGAAGGCCTAGTTTAGATTGTAAATTTTTTTTTAGTTCATCACACTGTAGCATGTTTCGTTTGTATTTGACAAACTTTGTCTGATCATGGACTAACTAGGCTCAAAAGATCCATCTCGTGATTTACAACTAAACTATGTAATTAGTTATTTTTTTACCTACATTTAATGCTCTATGCATACGTTTAAAAATTAATGTGATGAAAAGAGAGTGAAAAAACTTAGAATTTGGAGGTGATCTAAACAACGCCGAAATCATGAAGTGAAGGTCGCAAGAATACCAAGAAGCGCCTTTGGCTGCCTGATAGTGGCTGGCACGCAGTGGTAGTAGGCGCTGAGTTGGAGGTCCACCGAACAAGAAGGCATCACATCACATGCCCCAATAATCTCCCGTCTTTCTCACACTGCACTCTTTTTTTTTCATTCCCGAAAGCAAAGCCATGGATGACCTGGCCCCTGTGGAAGTATTAGTACCTTCCTGCAACTTTCAGTGGGCGCACACTGTGCAGGCAGGCAGCTGCAGCTCGCTTCAAGATTCACTCATTGCCCAACTAGAACACACACGCCGGCACATGACCGTCGCCACGACGTGCGGATCCACTCGAGCCTTCAGTGGCGCACACTGTGAAGCTGAAGCCGGCTCCTTCCATTCCCATCCCAGCAGTGGGAAACTGCAAGCAAATGCTAAGCCCTGTTTAGTTCGCGAAAAGTTTTCCTAAAAAGTGCTATAATATCCGTCACATCGAATCTTATGATACGTGTATGGAGCATTAAATGTAGACGAAAAAAAACTAATTGCACAGTTTAGTTGAAAATTGCGAGACGAACGTTTTGAGTCTAATTAGTCTATGATCGAACACTAATTGCCAAATAAAAACGAAAGTGCTATCGTAGCCAAATTTTCAACTTTTGACCAACTACTAAAACAAGGCTTTCCCAGGAAGCGAGACATTGCTTGATTGTTGCCGTTTACATGTGGTAGTACTAGTAGTGTACTACTGCTGCCACCACTGCCATATGGAATCCAAAATCGGAAAATCCATGGCCGGTCGGTATGTTATGTTCCACCTGACCTGATTCTTTGTGTTGAGCAGCGGCCCCGCCGGTGGCCTGGTATCATCTCCTCGCCGTGTCGTTCGCCGGCGACTCCGACAGAGCGCACAGTGAGGAAGTGGCGGCGCAGGCCGGAGAAGAGAAGGGTGTCCGTGCCACTAGCCTCATGTGGCGTCTGACTCGGCTCTCGCAGGGAAATTCCAGTTGTGTCACGTCACCACCGTTCGCCAGCGCCTCACCTGACCTGACCAGTCTACTTTCTCCCGCCACGTTCTGATAGCCCTGAGCCGGCGAATGGGCTGTCTCGTCTGGTCAGGACAAAGGCGTAAAAGCGCCTGAAATCTATATATAAAAATAAAACCCGGGTGCTACAGCCTGCTCCACACACTGATACTACCGCATGAGCATCTCTGAATCTGACGATGGTCGCGCTCGCCTTTATTGCCTCGCCTGTTGCGTTTGCCGATCATGGCGTGGCCCTGTCCCATGTACACTACGATACACAACACAACACGAACGCCTGTGTCTGTGTCTGTGTCTGTGTGTGTGCTGCCTCTGCTGCCTGAGCTGGCTCCAGCCACACGCCGAGGGCCAGAGCCAGGCTGCTCTGGCCGCAACTTGCCGCGCGCAGGCAGTGGCCAGGGGGGCTGAAGTAGCCGCGGGGCCCCGGGAGCACTCGTCGGGCACACGCAAGATTCATGCGAATCCAACGCGACGCCGGGCGGGCCAAGTGCGCGTTGTGCCGTTGCTGCGTTGGGCGCCTTCCGTTGCGCCGGCCCGGCCGGATGCTTTTGCATGCGGTCGCTTTCTCTTTCGCCACCCAATGCAATTCCGGCGTCCTCTCCCTCCTCCTGGGAGACGGCAACGGTGGCAGCACTTGCGCTGCTTCTGCTCCGGCGACTTTTGCTCGTGCCAGGTGAAAGCAAAGCCCCGGCCGGCCTGCGTTGCTAGTGCTGCTCCTTTCCGGTCTTTACGCTGCCATTGGGCGTAGGTGAAAGTGGTGGCATGGCAAAGCGTCCAGGCGGCCCGTGGAGCTTTTGGGCGTCATGTCCGCGTTAGCCTTTTTTCCCTCGGCAAATGTTCGGATTCGGCAAATGGACGATATAATTGAGGAAATAGAGGCGCAGGGCAGAGATTCCAGATTCCGAGCGCCGGACCACCAAGACGTGCCTGTCGCAATAACCGATAGCAAAAATCAATAAAGAAAGAGTAATCATGTGAAATTGCTGAACAACACTGCCATTTTCTTTTTACCTAGAGCGCACTAGGAGAACTAGAGCCTCCTTTTTTAACACCCGTTATCTTTTTTTTTTATCATGTACAATTTGGATGCACGTTATCTACACAGTCCACACTCACACCACACGCACACACGTGCGTGCGTCCGTACACACGCAAAAAAGAGATTGGGAGACGTCGCCTCCAGTGCACGGAAAACGCGTAGTATCACCAAACGCACACGTGTACGTGTACCCTAAAATTTCTAAAAAAAATACAGAAAAAGATGCGAGGTAACGTCCCACAACAACCCTACAACTGGATCATAGACCCATTCGCAACACCCGTTATCTGAGGAAGTGGTGAGTGTACCTGCTGCGCTCCAATTTGGTATAGCAGCTAGAGCATCTTTAACAGGTACAGCGAACTGTGAACTTCCTCCGCAGTTGACATGTTTCCCTTCTCCACTCCGTTGACTTGCGACTTGCGAGCACCTTAAATATTGCACTCTTCTCCATTCCATGGTTGACTTGCGACGTGCGGGCACCTTAAATATTGCACTCTTCGTATCAAATAACGTCAAATGCTATTATTTCTGCTAACCCCACTATCCAAGAATCTAAACTCCATGATATCGATCGCTTCAAGGTGAAAACCTTCCTACCCCCATAGCTTGCTCAAAATTTCCTTTACCTCCCTGCAATCGGTTCCAGGGGTGGAATCATCACTGCCTAGAATCCCTTTTCTTGGTGCTGCACCGGCTCCACTACAAAAAACCACTCACTCACAATTACACTCAGCAGCACCTTGTCTGATTTCACACTCGCTATCACCAACGTTTACGGTCCTTCTGATCACCGTCACACCAACACCTTTCTCCTTGAACTGCTTGATATATCCACTCAGATGAACGACCCTTGGGTCATCATCGGAGATTTCAATCTCATCCGCTCCAGTGACGAGAAAAACACTGATAATATCAACCGCTCCCTAATATCTGCTTTCAACGATGCTCAGCAATTTGGGGGTTATGGAAATACCTTTGCTTTGGCGCAATTTCACGTGGTCTAATGGTCAGGACCCGCCTATCCTGGCCAAGCTCGATAGGGCCCTTGTTAACCTGGCTCATACCACCACCTTCCCGGTCACCACTCTCCCCCCCAGGGCCAAACCCACCTCTGACCACACTCCGATTTTCCTTTCCATGTCCACCACAATTCCAAAATCTCCTCTCTTTCACTTCGAAAACGCTTGGCTCCTGAGACAAACTCTCCTCCCATCCATCCTCCCAGCGTGGGCTGAGGCGCGTATGTGCAGCGACGCAGCCGGCCAGCTTGCTGCATGCCTCAAGTTGACCAGAGCGGCGACAAAAGTTTGGTCTCGGTGTTTCAGGGCGCCACACCAGATTATTACCGATTGCAAGTTCATAATCAAATTACTAGACACTTTTGAGGAGGAGCGGGCTTTATCTACTGACGAATTTCAGGCACGCAGGACTTGTCTTGATTGCCTCGCTCAGGCAGTCAAGGAGAAAGCTGCTTTCTGGAAGCAGCGGAGCAAATTCAGGGCGGTCAAAGCGACCGTTCGGCTACGCAGCAACAACATCCGATATGTTGAAGTTCAAGATTATGTAATTGCAAGCCATGAGGGGAAGATTCAGGCGCTCACCAACTTCTTCAGCTCCATTATAGGCAAACCAGGAACGGCAACGTGGGGTTTTGATGTGGAACGCCTCTTCCAAGATCAGCGCCAGCCATCACAGGATCTCATTGCACCTTTCTCTGAGTCAGAGACTCTAGAAGCCTTGAAGTCAATGGACAGAACCAGTGCTCCAGGCCCAGACGGCTTCGATCCCTCCTTTTACAGGGCGGCTTGGTCCCAGGTCAAGCCGCAAGTGATGGCCTTCTTGCATGCTTTCCATCTCGGACAAGCACGGTTAGAGAGAATCAACAGGTCTTACATGGTGATCATCCCAAAAAAGCCTGGGGTAGTTGCTGTGGATGCTTTCCGACCCATCTGTCTGCAGAACTGCTCCATCAAGATCCTCGGAAAAGTGCTAACAAGGAGACTACAGAAAGAGATTGGGAATTTGATTGACTTGCATCAGACAGGTTTCCTGAAGGGCCGCTCGATCTCGGAGACTTTTGTCTTCGCTGCCGAACTGGTTCAAGCTTGCAACAAAAGAAAGCTGCCCTCCATAGTGCTCAAACTAGACTTTGCGAAAGCTTTTGACACGGTTATCTGGGACAGCCTTGACACCATTCTGCGTGCAAGGGGCTTCCAAGACAGGTGGTGCAGATGGATGCAGGATATTCTATCATCTTCCAAATCTGCTATCCTAGTAAATGGGTGCCCGGGTCCTTGGATAAATTGTAAGCGCGGGCTGAGGCAAGGGGACCCTTTATCGCCGTACTTGTTTCTTCTTGTTGCTGATACCTTACAGGCACTCATTCGATCGGCCAACTCAGTAAGGCATCCAATAGATGGCGATAGGCCATGTGCAGTGCTTCAGTACGCGGACGACACCTTGATTGTGATGAGAGGTGACATTGCAGATGTCCATGAACTCAAGAATATCCTACAACAGTTCTCTGAAGCCACTGGCCTGAGGATCAACTATAACAAGAGCACATTGGTTCCAATACACATGGACATGGTTTCGGCTTCTCAGTGCGCTGCTGAAATTGGGTGCAGTCAGCAGTCCTTTCCTCAGAATTACCTGGGTCTCCCACTGTCTGCAAATAAATTGCCAGTGTCTGCCTTCTCAACCTATGTCGACAGAAATGACAAGTTCCTCTCCTCTTGGCAAGCATCACTTCTCAACAACATGGGCCGGGTGGTCCTAATCAACTCGGTTCTGGACTCACAGCTGGTATACATTATGTCTGCAGCACAAATACCTCCGGAGGTAATAAAGCAAATTGACAAACGCAGCCGCTCCTTCCTCTGGGCTGGCAACAAAGATTTCTCAGCAGCAAAGTGCCTGGTAGCCTGGCCGAAGGTCTGCACTACAAAAGACTTGGGTGGGCTCGGAATCAGGGACTTTGGAACCCACAACGTCTGTCTACTACTTAACCTCATCCATCGCCTTCACTCTGCGGACTCGTCGGCATGGGCAAACTGGATCAGTGAGCGAGTTGACATTGCAAACATGCATGGCAACGGTTCAGCTTGGAGATGGGCGTTCCACTCTTCTATGGACTGTTGTCTGGACAGGAGATGAGGCACTGGAAGACCGCTTTTCCAAGGCTGTTTTCCCACTGCATCAACAAGGGGTGCACGGTACAGCAGGCGATCAGTACAAACCTTCAAGGATGCTTTGTGAACCGTTTGTCAACGCAAGCACAGCATGAACTCCAGGAATTGAATGATATCCTGCAGCAATTACAGCTCTCAGATCAACCGGACATGAGACTGTCGACTTTCAGTCGAACCAAGGACAAGCTGGACACATCTGCCATCTACCGTCTGCTCAAAGCCAGAGGACAAGAAAATGATCCAACATCAACCTTCATCTAGAGGAACGCTGCTCCTCCGCGTGTGCAGATGTTCTTCTGGCTGCAGCTCAAAGGAAGAATCCAATGCAGGTCCAATCCTTTCCCCAAAAAGATCGTTGACTCTCCAGCCTGTCTAATCTGCGGTGCTGCTCATGAAACGCCGGATCACATCATCTTTCAGTGCCCGATCGCTGTCCAGTTCTGGTCAGCAATTGGCATACAGTCAACCTCAGGCCTCCAGTGCAGCAATTGGCAAAACATTCAGAAAATCAGAGGCATACCGGATGATCAGTATGTTGCTGGGAGTTATGGAAGCGGAGAAACGCTTCTGTTTTCAGAGACGAGCAAATAAACCTTCGACAACTAATCCCATCATGCAAGACCCAAGCTAACCTCTGGAGACCAAGAATGCCCAATAAGAGTTAAAAAGTCATAGAGGATTGGACAAAAGGTCCTAGACTCTGCGGTGAACACTATATCTATGTAATCTAGATTACCCCCATCCCAAGCAAAAACCCCTGTACAAAACTTTTGTAATCATGTAACCAGAGCTAGTATTCAATAAAATCTGGTGGGGAATTATCCCCCCCGTTGAAGCTTAAAAAAAATAACGTCAAATAGCAGAATTAATGAGCAGGGCAGGTAGAAGAAATAGCTTCCTGCTAGGAAACCCTGCGAGTTGTGCAACCAGAACGGTCTTGTTTATTTATTTTTGTTAAAAAAGAATGGTTTTATTTATTGCTCGAACTTGTCTCACCAGAGAAGTTAGATGACTGGTGAAGTGCATTGTTTAAGAACAGACATACAAGCATGGATCTATCATAGGGCATTGACATATATCAGATTATTCCACTCAACTACTAGTCCACCGCCCCTCGACATGTTCTGTTCTGCTCATTTTCTGGTGCTCGATGGGGAATATGTGGCCTTACTCAGCACCTCCTATTGACGCGACTGACAGATGTCGTCCCTTCAACAAAGATGCCACTGAAATCTTTATCTCCAAACAGCTAGTGATTCCACTAGCTCTGATGTTAACCAGTCTGCAGTCTGCATCAGAGATAAATATTTGCAGAAGTTCCAAGTCTCATAATTCACACCCCACAGAAGTCCATCCTTTGACATGGCTGAAAGTTCAGAACTGCATTTTGCAAGAGTTATACAATGAGAGCTGTTGAAGCTGATACTGCGTTAGTCATCATCAAGGGTTCGTCGACCTTTATGAATACCAAGGCTGGATAATTTGGATGCCTGCACAACAAAATTACTTCCTGCTGTCTGGAGAACTTGATGTTTCTGACAGCAAGCAGAAACTAATTAAAGTCAATTTGCTTGTCCAAAATGACAACTAAATAATGCAACTGGAGGGAGTAGTTTCGAACGTTCCTTCTAAAAAACAAGTAGTTTCGAACGTGAAATGGACGTGATAAATGCCATCTAGCATCCCATAGCATCAGTTAAAGTTAACCATATATGACATATCGAAGAGGTAAGACTAAGCGTGAACCTGTCTCTCTCTCTCCAGGAAAATAAAAACTTGACCGTGAAGATGGAACCCAATAACAAGGCAAAGCTGAAAGGGTTACAGGTGCAACAAATCTGCGTGATAAATGAGAGGGTGGTAAATAGCCTACGTGTTAAATACTGCTTTCATAAGGTAAACGTTTCTCTTTTCAAACTTTGTCAGAAAGTGGATGGCCTTACCAGCAGAGCTTCTGTTTTCTCTAACTCTTATAAGAAGGGAATATTAAGTGCACCCATAAAATCAAACTCGATAAGAATTTGAAACAGTTCCTCCAAGCAGCAACCTGATGGAAGCATAAGGAGTAGTACACCTAACATCACGACTTTTAACAGAAGCAGGTCATTTTTCTTTAAAATTAGTAATATCAGTTCAGTTTTCATCTGCAGAGAACTTTAATCCTACTTCGCTAAAATCTGCAATAATAGATTTTGGCACTCGTGGCATGATTGGCAAAGCTCATTCGCCACCACAGATTTAATAATGCTTACTACCTACAGATACCTATTCAACAAGTAATGGGAAAGGATCAAACTGAAATCTATTATCCTACTAAATGGTCACTGCAGATTAAATTATAGTTCTCTCTGATATCTGAAGAAACTTTCCATGTAAGTATTTCACTAGGAATGATATGCCATTTGACTGTACATTTTTTGCAGTTGATCAGATGCTCAGTAACATGAATTTAAAAATGTATGATTGTAGAGCCAGTCAGCATCCAGAAACTGAATGATTAGAGAAATCCAACAAAATTCAGAATTGGATTATTGATAAGAAAATTGTACTACCTTGTCCGTTTTCGCTTTAATCACATATACATTAGCAATTTAGCATATCCATTCACAAGAGCCTTAAGCATGGACAGCAGGACAGGTGATCTCCCATCCACCCAATGATCCTTCTGCGGCTTTGCGTGTACCAACACTGCTGATGAGAATGGTTGGACGCAGTTATTACAAGCGCATTGTCTCTGAACAAGTAAAAATCTACGGAAAATTAGCTTTAAAAAAATGTACGGACAATCTATGGAACACAAACTGCATTCCATATCGCTATATGATCTGATTACCTCATCAGAGCGCCGTCGTGGTTGCCGGCACTGGTGGTTGGTGGAGATGACGGTGGAAAGATCTCACTGTAACACCCCAGGTACCACGCAACCCTGGGACGCTACCACACAACACTATAAAGTTGCCAAACTTGTAGTTTTCAGCAACCTCTACGTAAAAGACGAACGCGAGTGGAAGAAAAATAACATGTAAAAAAACAAATGTACGTGGTACTCCACTATCAAATGATACAACGGAGAGACATATGTAGTATTTTTATTTCTAACTACAAAGGATAAAATCAATTATCTTTATTACTGCATGATTCTACGATTATTGTGTGGTGATACAAGTATGCAAGACGTGCTACTAGTCCCATCCCCGTCATGCCAGCATTCATCATTAATCACTTGGAAGAGAATAAAGGGGTGAGATAAACTCAGTAAGCAACGGCTATGAATATACACATATCTTACATATGTTGATTAAAAAGTTTTAAACCAAAAAGGATCCATGTTAGGGGACGACGAATAATTAAAGTACTCAACTTTCTTATGTCAACCATTAACCAACCACTCAGAGGATCAATAATCTGCAATTCCATATTCTGGATATGGCATGAAATGTATATATGCCATGATGCAACTCCATTTGAGAGTATAATGTTGGACGATGCCAACCTCTCATGCAACTCCATGTACTGGTACTAGTCACTGCACGCTGGCGGTGACCGGCCATTAACTCCATATGAAATGCATATATATGCATATGAATGATCATGTATGCATAACTCCATAGCGCAACAATTATAATATAATAATCTGCAACTGCCATCTCACAGCGACAAGCGACATCAACATGATAAATAAATCCATAAACAATGTATACATAAGTATGAATGAAGGTAAAGCATATATTAGTCTTGCTATATTTTATTCAAAAAGAATGCAAGACATGAATATAAGCATAGCATTAGCCACACCCCTACGTTACTTGTCTTTTCACCGAAGAAAGCAACCTCGACAAACACGTCTAAGAACGGTTAGGAGCCACTCTTCCTAGTAAAGATAAATATGGAACTACTCAACTCAACAAATCATGCATAACATATAAAGAGTAAATACACGTCCCTATTCCTACTCAATCACTCCCCACATTTTCTAGTTGCAAAAGAAACCCTTAAAATAAGAATAAATATTGCCAAACAACCACAGGACTTTTCAGGGCAGTTAACTTGTTATTTTCATAATTATTTTTATACAGCATCAAAAGCTATGATTGAGCACATTAAAAACATCTAAATAAAATTTCCAACAACTTTGGTGTTCACTATAAAATTTAATTCGGCCAGTTACTATTCCTAATTAGGCTTCAAACTGAACACATATGTTCGAACTTTTGGAAAAGCTGGACTTCGAGACTGATGAGGTGCCGACATTCTTATCCTCAATTAATTATTCAACTACTGTTCTGGCAGTGTTGGAAATGATAAAATCATCAACAATAAGCCTCCAGTTTGATATCTCCGTAAATCAGCTCCTAAGAAAAACAAAGCTCCAATCGAATTCCCACTATGCATGCAGATTAAAAAGTTGCGCATGCAGTCTATCTCTTTACAAGGTGTAGGTTTTTCTGATTTGACTTGTTCCTAAATCCAACACAGTACAGCGACAAACAGAAGGGAGAAAAACAATCATGACAATTTGATTTGTTATTTACCTATAAACCAGATCACAATTCCCTTCCTGCTACACTGAAAACAGCCTGTCATCAAAACTCGTAACCCCTATTTTACATCACTGTATCTTGTATATATTTACATATACTCCATGGAGAGATCCAAAAATATTCTAGAACTATTTAGTTCTTACGCCATTCCAAATTGATCATGAAAATTCTCAAAGAAGAAACGATAGATCGGACTGTAAGGTGCTGAATGACTATACAACGCACATGCAAACAGGATATTTTCCGGCAAGATTAGTCCTAAATGCCAATCTAACCAAGTGGCTAAACGCAGGAGAAAGAAAACAAAGTTCAGTCTCTATTGCTTACCAGTGCGAAACCACAGGCATTCCGATCCCTAGATGTGTCTTGCCGTGAGGATTTGTCTCCTTATCTTCTGTTAAGTGGACACGATCTGGCTAGTCGCTACTGTGGCCGGCTGCCAGGGACGTCGTTCCTCAAAGGCAAGGATGCACGAGCAGAGGCAAAACCGGCGGCGTGTACTGATGTGGATAGGATTTGCGGTCTAGGGTTTTGATTCCACCTCTTTGTCTTCTCTAAACTGGGCTCTAGTTAGGCCTAAATTACTTTCGTACGTAACATATTAGGCCCATGTAGTATTAAATTTATCTATATTTAGAACGGGATGTTATACTAACGGCTGCAATCAAACCTAGTAAAGACATATAGGAGCAATACCAGGCGTCCAGGCCAGACCAAACG